AAAGGTCAGGGGTCAAGAGTTGAATTAGAGGTCAAACCAAATATAATAAAATAAAATAATTTAAAGAAAAATACATTAATTTATAAATTATTATATTAAAGACTTAATTTATCATATAAGGTACCATTAATATTTATGTGAAAGCTAAATATTTAAAAAAAGTAATATATAATTATATTTATATGAAAATTAAACATTTATTCAAACACATCAGCTACCTATTATTAAAGTTAAATAGAGTGACTGTTGCTTAGCCATGCAAGATAAATGGGCGTGGCAGCCGGTTAGATCTTACCAAAGTTCAAGTACCCGAAAGGTATAACAAAAATAAGGTTGTTGATCCATGTATATAGGTTAAGGGAAGAAATAGGGAAAGCATGAGAAAATAGAAAATACTTAAAAATTGATCGTAAGGGCTAAGAAATCATATTTACAGGATAAATATAGTGCGCCAATAAAAAGGTTTAATTGTAGGGTATAACAACAACGTTATAGCTCAGTTGAAAACCGAAAAAAAAAAAAAAGTTGTAGCTCAGTACTATCTTACCTTGTTGATAAGTAACTAAATAGAGACTTGTAAATACAAGTTTCAATACATGTTAATTAGGCAGATAGTAGATACCCGGTGAGAAATGAAAGCAAGACAAACAAATTTATTGTCAATAATGATAAGATTTGAACTAATTAATTTAATTACATAAAGATTGATTTGGTTAATGGTGGGTTCCTTAACCTTCCTCAATTTCCCCAACCTAAAAAATTATATAAATATATTGATAGAAAATTAATCTTAGGCTTAGCTCCTAATATTTTCAATACAAAATAAGACCAATAAAAAGATTCTATCCTGCCTTGATCCTTTAAACGTACGATACATATGATAACTAAAATCTTCTTTAAGGAACAACCACAAACCCTTAATTCTTATTTTAGTGACGAGGCTTGATGATTTCAATATTATAAGAAGCTAAGAATTATGTCTATTTATTATTAATATGCAGTTAAGTACTTTTCATCATATTATTTGATTTAACTGCTTAAAGAAAGAGATTTTATTTACCTCATAATTAAAGTATATTTTTAATCTTTAAATTTTATACGAGGTTTCATATTAATCCCTTAATTTATAAAATATCTTTTCAATCATTTAATCATAACATTGTTAATTTCATCACAAAAAGTTTTTTCATAAAATTTTAAGTATCAATAAAACATTATCAAATGTTGACATAATAATTTTATTTTTAAAAAAATAACAATGATTAGGGGCAAAAAAATAATCATATGAATTAAAGATATAAATATTAGATGATTGAAAGATAATTTATAAAATTAAAAAATTAAATTAAAATTTCATGTAAATTTAAAAGATTAAAAATATATTTAACTTTTACCTCATCATTATTGACAGAAAAAATATGTTTTAAATTATTGTTAATAGTGATAAATATAAAAAATATATATATCAGAAATAGGCAAGCTATAAATAGCTCATTCATCAAATTCTAGGTCTAGTCATTTTTTAATAGAAAGGTCTAGTCATTTTAAATATGGAGGAGTAAGTGCTTCGGAATGGATACACATTGGTGATAGAAGGCCCTATTCCCCTTCCTCATTTGTTTCTAAAAAACTTTACAATTATATTGTCCAAAAATTAATATTGGGCCGAGCCCTCAAATTTCGATACAATCGAGAAATCAAAAACTTTAAATAATTTTATTCTACCCTAATTCTTGAAATTCATCATCACCCTAGCCGCAATCTCCTGCTGCATCCTCCTTAAAAACGCTACAAACCCCTTATTATTATTATTATTTTCTTTTTTCTTTGCTCATATGGCTCAAGAATTGCAGCACTGTAAGCATTTGACTATTTTTCTTATTGATCTTCATATCTTTGTTTATGGATCTTTCTATTAGCTATTGATCATATAAGTAAAATAAAATATTTGAATTTATTTAATCTATATGCAATTTGGGTACCTGATTTCCTCAATTAATTTAACAATTTCTTCATCAATGGAAAGTTTTCATTTTAATTATAAGATGTTTTAGCAAATCTAAATAATCTATGCCATTATGACTAGATATTCAGGTGGGAAATTAGTCGCATGAATGATCACTTATCGACCGCTTATTGAAATATATTTTACAGATCTGATATATGCTACAAAACATCATCACCACTATTTCAAAATTTTTTTGGTAATAACTATTATATTTAATATTGAAAATCTAAAGTCTATATTTTGCACATTCGATATCTTTGCGGCTAGAAACATCAGCACCGCTATTTTTTTCTCAGCAGATTTAGATTGTCCTTATTTTATAAAGACAACCTATATTTTATATTTCAAATATATTTTTTTTAATATAACTATTATATTTTAAAGTTAACAATTAAAATTCTTCTCTATGCTTTAATTATTTTTAAGATGTAAGAAATTGTAGATACAATTCATCTACATGTCTTATTTCAAGTTAGTTCTCATCTATGAAGGTCTTGCTATAAAATTTTAAATATTTGTTATATATATATAAAATTTAGCAAGCTCCTTGTTGGGTTTAGCAAGTCTATCCTTCGTGGATCAAGCTTTAGTCCAAACTCAAGTCCACATTATTGAACAGGCTCATCTAGTTATTAATAAGATGCTAGGGTCCTTGAGTGTAATATTTCCATTTGTTTATGGGAATAGTTTTTCGGAAGAGGCACATTTGAAAAACTTTCCCCATTTGTGAATAGAAGTTATATAAGTGTTGGAGGCTATAGTTAAAGCTAGATGATTCACTCTAAATAGTTGCACTCTAATAATTCTTCATTCTCTCCTTTCTTCTTCTTTGTGGTAATATTGCTGTGAGCCAGAGTCAGAGTTTGTGTAATTCTATTCATCTGTGTAGAGGTATCATTAGGTTTAACAAAGCAATTATGTTTGCAGACTCCATATACTTCCATTGATATCAGAGACATGCCAGGCTTTGATACCAATGTAAAATTTTGGAAGCTTGAAAACATATCTTTGTTGATGATAGAATTTCTTAAGTCTCCTTCTAAATAGAATCTGGGTTATAGTCTCAAACCTCAAATATATCTTCATAATAGATATACTATCCCTTATGTGAGAGAGAGAGAGAGAGAGAGAGAGAAGAGAGTTTTTGGGAGAGGGAGTTATCGGAATGTACATGCCTTCATTTATCATATACCCAATATTACTCATTGTAACCCCATTGAATGACAAAAATAATTATTTAACTCAACCTGGCCTTCACTCACTTAGCCTAATTTATTAAGAGTGTAATCCAACACTTATTTTCTATGTCTCATAAGTAGTTCCATTTGTTACAAATTTTATTATATATAGATATACTGAGTAGATAATTAGATGTGTATCATGTACTGTGTGAAATTTGAAATATGAATGGTTTATGATTTATAAATAATTTAATTTATTAAAAATAAATATAATACTGGGATATTAATACAGATGAGATATTCATAATTAATAAATAGTTACTAAATGTCAATTTTATATATCATGGGATTGACAAAAAAAATTATATCTTAGGTTCTCTCTCCATGCCAAATTATAAAACAATTTGAGGCATACATACATACTTTTTCAAAATAAAACTATAAACTTTTAAAAATATTTTTATACATAAAATCATTTTGCTACAATATCATTTAAATTCTTTCTCCACTTAAAAAGTTATATTGAAAAAGTATTATTAATTAAATCTTATTTTTTTTAAAACTTATATTTTTATATTTTTGGGATAACAAAATTTCTTTAAATCTTATAATTTGGGATGGAGGAAGTAATTTTGACTTGCTATTACAAAGAATGCTATTACAAAAAAGGCTTATGCAGTGCTTTTTTTATTTATTTATTTTCACAATATGCATTTCTTAAATGTTACAAGACTCATTACTATATAATGCTAAAGAACACATATATAATTTGAATTTTGGTTCCATTTACTTTTGTATAAAACATGACCTTACGTCCTCCTTGTTTTCCACCTATATTTTCCAGCCATTTTTAGTCAACAATCCAATATGAAGCCAAGCACTTCAACCGCCCCTGCAACGGTCTCTCTCTTTGATCTCTCTCTCTCTCTCTCTCTCTCTCTCTCTCTCTCTCTCTCTCTCTGGTGTTCTGTTCCAGATTTTTAACTACAGTACATTGCATTTCAGGTCAAGAGAGGTCGAGTGCAAAAGGTAAAGACACACTCTACTGTAATCATAAAAAATTAGCATACAATGTGCTTACTATGTTTTCCATTTTTAGTTTTTTTTGATAATGAAATAGAAATATTGAAAACCCACAAAATGAAAGTTTTGATTTTTCTTGAATTTGTTTGATAAAATTGTAATAATCTAATGTTATGTTGTCCTGATGTAGGTAAACTTGAGTTAATGTTGAAATTCTCAAGTGAATAAAGTCAGATTTAATAACTAATATGCAATAAAGAAGAATGACCTATAAACTTAAGTCTCAATGTTTTGAGTTATGATGTGGTACCTTCTCATGATTTGAGTCCGAATAATCAAAATTAATGCTTAAATTTATGAGTTATTCTTTTTTATTATATGTTAATATTAAACTTAGTTTTATTCAATGTGAGGCTTTTTACATCAGTTCAATTTCACCTAAACTTAGATATCCTAACATTTAATTTATCCTAAGCCCTTAGGTGGATAAATATGTGAGTAATGATAGTAACGTAGTTGATAAGAATCGGAAAAGGGATGGGTAGATTCTTTCCCTAGAAGTGTACTGGCTGTGCAGAAGAAGAAAAATGAAATACAAATCCATAATGAAAGTTTTTTTTTTCCTTGAAACTTTTTTAGAGTATATCTAGGCATGTAAATAATGATATATAGTTATAACAAATTGTCTAGCCAAACTTTTTCCTATTCCATCAAATGTTCGTATATTATACTACAAAAAGGTCAGATAGAGAGTATAAATCATAGTTTAATTTAGATTATATACGTGTATGATTTGTTTTGTTGAGCCAGAGTTGTCATGTTTACAGAAAAAGGATACTAGTAAGAAACCAAGTCCATTGAGGTGAGTCGTCAATTAATTACTTTGCTTTCATTATTTCTATATATTTAATCTCATAACACACACACACACACACACACACACACACACGTGACTCAACATTTTTATTTGTACTCTATGTACATATACAGAATCAAGAGATCAACCTTTTCTCAATCTGAAGCCTTTAACAAGGCAAAAGAAATCCAGCAAAACCTATCCCAAGAGCATCCCAGCGTTATTAAATCCATGCTACCTTCGCACGTATGCAAAGGATTTTGGATGGTAAAATCCTTTACCTTAGGCATTGTTTTTAAGTGTTTGTTACAAAAATACCAAATAAATGGATATTTTTTTGAGGAAAATGATAGTTAAGTCTCAAAAGAGGGGAATCAATAGTAGTTAAGTTATTGGCAAAATTTTGTGAAAAATAAGTTATAAATACCTATTTCAATAATTGTAATTTGAGAGTTTTAATTACAAATAAAATATTTAAATTTTGAATATAACTTTCAGTTTACAATTGAGATTTTTATTAATAACTGTTTGAATTAATATTTACAACTCAGTTTTTAGATAATTTTATCAGGAACTTAACTGTTAATTATTAATTTTTTCTTTTAAGATGTTATTGTCATTCTTCCTATCTTTTCTTTTATAGCTAAATATGAAGTCTTTCAAGACTATTTTCAAATGTAATGTTTTATTCCAAAACCTTATAACAAATGTATGTGAGGTACAGGAATAATACACTTATTAACGCTACATTTTTGTAATGGTAGGGCCTTCCTAAACGTTTTTGTGAGATGCATTTGCCCAAGGCTGATACTATGGTTGTTTTGGAAGACGAGAACGGAAGAGAATATGAAACAAAGTATCTTATAGAAAAGATGGGCTTAAGTGGTGGTTGGAGAGGATTCTCCATAGCTCACAATTTACTTGAAGGAGATGTTTTAGTCTTTCATTTAATCGAGCCTTTGAAGTTCAAGGTATGCATTGGTTTCACTATTATGAGAAAATTAATAACTGAGACTTAAATTTGTCACAATGCTTCGTTGCTCTTGAGTGAAGTTGGTAATTAATCTTTCATGTCCAAAGGTATACATCATAAGGTCTCATAATGGGTCAACTGAAGAAGGTCATGTTCTTAGACTTCCATACTTAGATGGAAGCACGAATCAACGTGATTCTAGTAAGTTTTCTATGATTCTCATTTCTTTGTTTATTTTGATATTTACATGTTTCTAATTGCTTTTTGTAATCTCATCTTTCAAGATGTTCATCAAGAAGGCAATCCAGATGGTGGCAAGATAATATGTGATGCTAGCATGCCACCATCAAATCAATATGAAAATAACGATCTAGATGAAAACTTGGATCTTGAGGTTTTAAATGACAATAGAATCTCAAAATCTCCTGTGACTTTCCAAAATGTCACAAGCATAGAAAATTTTAGTATTGTTGTTAATGGCCTAGTACTTGATTCAGAACTATCTGAACACCTTAAGGCCAAGTACTATAAGCTATGCTGCAGTCAAGAAATGTTTCTTCATGAGAATCTTCTTGAAAATCAGAATTGTCAGCTAGTTGTTGGAATAATTTGCGAAACCATAAATATTGCTGATGCTATTAAAGCCAGCAAGATCACAACCCCTTTAAAAGATTTTGCTGTGTGGCATAAAAGCTTGAAAGGTCTTGAATGGTTTGGCATGAATGTTCGCTTCTTACTTGATAAGTTGGAACAGCTCATGGATTTAGCTTCAAGATTTGAGAGGCATGCAAAGGCAAGAAGTGAACGAGACCAGGCTAAAGAGGAGAAGAAACTTCTTGAACTTAAGCTTAAAAAAGTAAAGGAGACCTTAAACAAACTTGATAGTGAGCTTGACTCACACAATATGAACTTGGAGAGATTGGAGGCTAAGTTTCAGGATTTGGCTGATACTGCATGGTAATACAGTTCATTGATGCTCTCTCATATGTAATTGGTGTTCTTGTATTGTTGATTATCTGATTATCTCTCCGTTGACATGACGAGTATCATGTCTAATGAAAATATTCAAATTATCTCTTGGACAAGGCTGAGCATCTGTTTAGAATGTATTGAAAATGTTGTGCATCCATGAATAGGTTTGAAATTGAATTATCATATTTCAGGGAAAAAAACTCAGCATATTCTTCTATTATTGGTTATTATATAATCGACAACTTTTCTATAACACCATAAACACATTTTTGGCGCGATGTTGGGACTTGAAAGATCCTTAAACTTGGAGGAGAAAAATCCAGATATCACTTATTTGTAAATCTTACTTGTTATTATTCACCTTTTTTGGCTGGTGAGATTGCATCTTATTTGTTTGAAAATAAACAGTAGTGCTGTACAAATAAAATATAACTAGCAAGTCGTAACTTAGCCTCCGAAAGTATGTTTTAGCCTTCACCTCATCATTATTGATAGGGGAAAAAATGTTTCAACCCATTGTTAGTAGTGATAAATATTTAAATGTGTATATATATATACACATAGGCAAGCTATAAATAGCTCATTCATCAAATTTTATGTCTAACCATTTTTTCGGCAGAAAGGTCTAGTCATTTTTAAATATGGAGTAAAGTGTTTAGGAATGACTATACAATAATGATAGAAGGCCTTATCCCCTTCCTCATTTGTTTCACGAAAACTTCACAAGTATATTGTCCAAAATTTAATATTGGTTCAAACCTAAAATTTTTGAAACAATCAAGAAATCTAAACTTGAAATGATTTTACTCTACCTTAATTCTTGAAATTCATCATCACTCTAGCTGCAATCTCACACCATATCCTCCTTTTTTTTTTTGGCCGAAGGAACACTATATTAGAAACATAACACAATTAACAGTACATCAACCAAGGACAACACAAATAGCATAAACAAAACGAAAGCAGCCAAAAAAAAAAAAAGAAGAGAAACCAGCAAAAAGAAACAAGAGGTTCATGCGCTTTCCAAAAGAGAACATCCCAGAGCACACAATGCCACGGTCTAGGGAAAAAATCAAAGGGGGTGGGGCTAAAAAGTCTGGTCCAGAGAGCACACCTCTATCCCTCCTGCAAGAGACACATTTTTTTTTTTTTTGGCTCATATGGCTCAAGAATTGCAACACTGTAAGCATTTGGCTATTTTTCTTATTAATCTTCGTATCTTTGTTTATGGATCTTTATACTAGCTATTGATCATATAAGTAAAATAAAATATTTGAATTTATTTAATAGATCTGCATTTTGGGTACTTGATTTCCTCAATTAACTTAACAATTTTTTATCCTGGAAGGTTTTGATTTTAATTATAAGATGTTTTTAGCAAATCTAAATAATCAATACCATTATATGGCTAGATATTCAAGTAGGAAATTAGTCGCATGAAAGATCAATTATCGACCTCTTATTGAAACGCATTTTACATATCTGATATCTCTGATGCTAGAAAACATCATCACCACTATTTCAAATTTTTTTTAATATAACTCTTATATTTTAATATTGAAAATCTGAATTATATATTTTGCACATTCGATATATCTGCGGTTAGAAACATCAGCACCGCTATTTATTTCTTAGCAGATTTGGATGACACTTATTTTATAAAGACAACCTATATTTTATTTCAAATTTATTTTTTAATATAACTATTATATTTTAAAGTTAACAATTAAAAATCTTGTCTATGCTTTAATTATTTTTAAATTAAAAATGCTAAGATGTAAGAAATTGCAGATACAATTCATCTACATGTTGTCTTATTTCAAGGTAGTTCCCATCTATGAAGGTGTTGCTATAACATTTTAAATGTTTGTTATATGTTATTATGTTATGTAAAATTCACTGAGCTCCTTATTGGGTTTAGCAAGTCTATCGTTGGTTGATCCAGCTTTAACCCAAACCCAAGCCCACATTCAGACTTTGGAAATATTCTACACTTTCATAAATTTTCTCTCAAGTGCATTTGCTGTGAGCACAATCTCAGTTTCAGTAACTCAATCATCCGCGTAGAGAACCCAACTGGTGCAAAAGTAGGTGTATGATTCCTCCTCAACTCATACATTGTCATATGACAATCATTTCTAATATATCTTATTCATTTTTCCCTTGATTGATTAATAATTTTCCCTATAACAATTATTGTATTAGTTAAACCCTATGTGCTACAGTGGAGCAGATAAATGGATCATGGAGGTGAAGTGGTGGAGTAGTGAAAGAGCATGTGGGAATGTGGGACCAGAAAAACTAATAATGATTTGATAGTAAAATAAATGATGAAAATAAATCAATAAAAATAGGTATATGTAAAATAATAATTATTTCTTTGTATTATATTGACTTAAAAGCATGCATGTTTGATTTTATGTCCTATTGGAGGAAATTTTCCTTTCAATCTATGATTTTATAAATTGAATATAATGAAAAAATATTTACTAGACGAATGTTTCCTCTTGTATTCATAAAACATATATGCTTATAACACTAGGCATTTGGACAATAAAAAAAATATTTTTAATCTCATAATATGTAAGTCCATTGAAGGTGTGTGTAAAATAACAATAAAGGATATAAGTTTTTTTCTTGTCTTCATTAGTTGCCATCTATTTCATAGTTACCTTGAGGGAAAGGACATTCTCTCATGAGTGAAAACCTTGTGTTCGGTAGGCACAGTTGAAAATTGAAATGATGAGAAAATTTTAAAATGTTCAAAAAACTAAGAGAAATTGATTTATAAATAAATAGCTTGGGGTGCACAATTACTCATTAAAAATAAGTCTATTTAATTCACTCCTACACTAGAGATAAAATGAAAAAAGCAAGCATCTTGACTGGTATAATGGTATATGACTTGAACATCATTTTTTTTAAATAATCCACAAACTAACAACTAAATAAAGATAGAAGATTGAAGTGAATTTGATATGCTCATCTAGCGAATAGTGATAGTTTATCATAATTTTGACTTGCTTATAATCGCATAGTTTTGACCGTTGCTTTATCTATTCTCCCCCCCCCCCCAAAAAAAAAAAGGATAGATAATTGAATAACATGATATCATAAATGGGCTAAATAAAGCTAAAAATTTTCAGGCATGGAACATACTGCATTTATCGTTCTAGAAACATCTCCAAAATAGAACAAGTGCTCAAACTAAGTAAAACTTATCTGCATCGTAAAAAATAAAATAAAGATTCAAGATTGAGGTGATTGTTCTTCAGCATGGATGTTGCTAATTGATACGAGACTTTCTGCATAATCGAAAACAAAATGACTGTGATCAGGTCTGCAGAGATCAATCATCTGAAATTCATTAGTAGTGGGGTTTATCAAAACAGTTTTTGCACTATCGTTCTCCACTTTACCAATGTAGCAGACAATTCCATTCCTCCAAAAAGCCATTGGAATTAACAAACACGATGAATAGGGACTGCAATAAGTATATCTTTTAGTCCAAGATGAACCAGTACTCTCCTCCATCACCCACAATTCAATCAAAGGAGGCCCAGTCAAAGGAGGATAAAGTATAGCAAGTTTATTCTCATACACTATAAAACTAGTTCCATACTTAGAGTTTGGAGTGGGCATTGGAATCAATGTAAATACTTCCATGACAATGTCAAATGAAACTATCAAACGACAATCATTTTTTGTCCCAAGCCAAAAGATGGCTCCATTAAATCTGAAACCATCACTTGTGCAAATACGTACACCTTTAAGGTTCCCAGATTTTACTTCCTTCCAAGACCCTGTGCTTACCGAAAAAACTTGCACTCCATAAACACCATCAAACTGACAAGCATGAAGTCTCACTATCCTGTAATCATTAACAATTGGGTGGAACCCAAATCCATCACAGATTAAATCCACACGCCCAAAAAAATTAAGAGGCTTGGGTATCGATATCACCTCTCTTGTGGCTGGATTCCATAATAAACAGGACAAATCAAAGAGTCTGATACAGAGCAAGCCATTGCAGGAACCAACGACCCTAAATTCGGCCTTCCAAGGTACGTTCTGGAATTGAAGGACTCGCATCTCGCGATCGAGCAAATACAAGGGCAAAGGCTCAGGTTGGCATGAGATATACCAATGGGTACCACAAATGAAAAGAAGAATAGGGTTTTGATGAGTGGAGTGGTGAAGGTGGTCCGCAACGAAATATGAGGTTTTGATGATATCTTTCCAACGCTTGCAAACACAATGAAATCGAATTAGGGATTTTACCGGAAGTCGTTTGAGAATGTTTGTGATGATTTCTTCGGGAAGATACAGTGTTTCGCCGTCCTGTGCCATCTGCTACATCAGGCTCGACTGGTAAGAATGTATCTCACGGAAGAAAGCGGGAAGCGGACGACGATCAGCGATTTGAGAGACAGAGAAATTGAGAATACAATTGTGTCGCTCTCCCCCACGTCAATAAATCGATATTTAATACTCCCTTTATTTAAAAATATAAAAAAAATTTAAAAAATAAAAAGTTTTTTAAAATATAATTATTTTTTTAAGTGATAATGACTTTATATTTATTATAAGATATTTAATAGAGGTGAAGATGAAAAGATAAGGTTAGTTTAAAAATAAGTAACTACTTAAGAATGAAATTTGGTTAAAAAAGTCTCATATTTTTAAACAGAAAGAGTATTTGTTATTTTACATTTCCTTTTCTGAAGGGTATTTTTTAAATTTGTTCAATAAATTGATTTTTTTGGCCCATATAGATCATTAACAATCAACCCATAATCAATCATCAAGATAATTAAAGATCAAAATCATGAATGTCTGACTATTTTTGTATTTGATTAAATGTATAATGTAACTGTTATAATAATAATAATAATAATAATAATATTTTAAAGTTTAATTTCCTATCAAATTTCCATTCACTAATGTCAAATGTCATTTATTAATAATTTAAATTTAAATGCATCATTTTGTATCATACAAACTATAGTTTATTATTTTTATAGAAGATTCATGAATTTATTATTTTTACATTTTTAACTTATAAAATTATATTAATTCTCTTATAAATTTAAATTAAATATAAATTTGATTAAACTCATGGATTAACTTTTCAAGTTTATTAATAAGAAAATATTTATGAGTAATAAAAAAATCTTTGTTGAAAATAATATTAATTTTAATTTAGATACTTCACACATAATAATGGGCAACTTTTTGTTTACCGTACTATTTACACCGTTATTAATGTTATTGTTCAAACATTAACTTATTTTTAAATTGAGAATCCACGTTTCCTAATTTATTTAAGAATATTAAATATATAAAAATAAATATTTATATAACTTACATTATATGTTAATTTACTTCACAATATTTGTCGTATGCATTATGATATTTCTTTTAATTTTAATTTGTTATTATATTAAACGATAAAGTTTATCGTCCGCCTCATTCCATTTTGTGAGCTACATCACTTGTATTATTCAAACATGATCCTAACTCTAATATGTTTTTTATAATTATGAATATGGTGATGCAAATATATTTAAGAAAAACGATGCAAACTCTCCAATAAGTTTTGAGCATTTCAAAAGGTCTCTTATTTGCAAAATTTTGTATTGGCTCGATAATCAAGTTCTTGTTAGAGCTTTGGTTTCATCAACTTGCTGCAGCTCCGGTAAATTTGTCTTTGTGGCCAGTAAATATTACCCTTCTCTCTTTGTGTTAGTCAATGTGGGTGATATTTTGCTCATAGGAAACTATTAGTGTATATCTCTCAATGTAAATGGATCCTAGATTTGTTTGACCGATCCGGTGTGGTGTCTGTTAAAGGTTCTGCTATACACCATGTCACAAATTAAGCTGTCAAAAGGTGAAACAGAACTATGTCTAATCCAATATGCCACAATCACAATAACATGGAAGGCTGTTAGTTAAGTGCATTCTTCGCTATCTTAGTGGGACTAAACACTCAAGTAACTCTCACTACCTACTATGATGCTAATTTGGCAAGTGACATAGATGACAGGAGATCAAACATCAAGATTTTGTGTTTATTTAGGACCTAATCATGTTATGGATCGCCACGAAAGCAACCAGTTGTTGCTCGATCAAATTCAGAGACGAAATATAAGAAAGTAGCTCTTGTAGTTGTAGAGTTCATGTGGCAGCAATCACCTTCTCAGAGCAATTTCAGTGCCACAACATTTTTATGATAACACTCAAGTACAAATGTACAATCACACGAAGCATATAAAACTTGACCCCTTTTTAAAATTAAACCTGACACCTGAGTAACTTAGTTTATAAAAAAAATAATAAAACATATGATATTTTATCTTATAATAAAAAATGGAGGAAGTAATTGAGATATGCTTGATTCAACTAGTCAAGAGAGTTGTATTAATCTATTATAGAATCTTGAGTTTGAGTCTTGGATTATGCAGTCATGTTAAATAAAAATATCAAAAGCATTTTCAAAGTATTCGTGAGGTCATCGTTGATAATAACAGTCCCACATAATAAGAGTATAGATTAGTCTAGATGAAAGGCGGTAATAACCTCAAGTTTCTTAGGATACCAAGAATAAAAAAAAATGGAGGAAGAAGTATATCTATGATATCTTGGCTATGTTGCTCCTCACCCTTCATGCACTACTGCAAAATCTTCACCGTTCAAATAAGAGATGGATAGCTCATATTTAATATTTTGCAAAAATATTATACAGATCGATGCTAAACCTTAATAAATATATAAAACTAAACAATAAAAGTTTAACCGGAAATTAGGAGCCATGGAAAATTTGAAGAGCAGAGGTAGATGAGAAAAATAAAGTAAGATATCAGATTGCAAATTACAACTCCACATTACTGTATAAGAATAATTAGCAAAGAACATCATCATAATAAAATTTGGTGCCTTTAATTTAATGTTCATCATGAAACTCTTAAAATCTACAAAAGATGGTAAATTTAAATAAAAAGCCTAGCTTTAGCTGGTGTTTTATTACGCCAGAGCAGTGACAAATTCAAGAGGGGCCATCAGGGCTGTGCCCCCCATGCTAAAAGATTTCATTTATAATTAGGTAACATTTTATTTATGAAAAATGTTAAAATTAATCGCAGCCCCACTTTTTGATAAAATTTCAGCTATGGCCCCCCACACAATGATTTCTGGATTGGCCCCTACACTAGGGTCTTGAATATGTCTCATGGATTTCATTTAGTGCAAACTAACAATGAACTTCAGTATTCCCAGTAAGAATGCAAATTGAATTTCATATTTCTGATGAAATTTAATCTCATGCCTCATCTAATCATGCATTGCAGTTCCTCTTAGCATGGTTGGAGGAGAATAAGATAACACAAACTTCATCTGGTGAACTTCACAGAAGAGTCTGAGAAAATACTGTTCTAATCCGTCTCTGAAAGACAAATGAACAACTTAATGCTATAAATAGAGGTCAAAGAAAACTAAAACATCTGGTATTACACACTTGCATTCATTGTTCTAGATAACATCTCTAACAGCCATCCGAGATTATAGTTACAGAACAATCTAAACTACTTTGGATTCTACCTCTAAATAAAGTACTTGAACAAAGTCAATCTGCAATGTCATGATTAAGATTTAGAATCAAGGTTTTAAACCGTCGATGTTGTTCATTGGCACAAGGCTTTCAGCATAATTAAAAATCTCATGTTGTTCATTGACATCCAAGCTTTTTTTTTTTTTTGTTTGTCATCTCATCCAACATGTGTTGGCCCAAAAAAAAAAAAAAACAATGGGGACCTTGTGTGTTCCGACTTTCTACCTCCCGGCTCCCACAGTCCATTTTGCTGAAAAAAGTAATTTTTTTAATAAAAAATTGATTATTATTAATGTCAAAAATCATTCATTATTAAACTAAAAACTAAATTATACAAAACCTCACCAACTTTGGCAAAGTTGCACATAATTCCTTGCACTTTTGAACATTTTTTTTAAAATTAAAAAGGCAAACATTAACGACATGAAATTACAAACAAGATTCAACCCATGACCTCTCATTTATAAGAAAATTTGCATGCCACTAAATTATAAGATCATTGGCAAACATTTAAAATTGACATCTTTATTTTTTAAAAAAAAAGAACCCTTGCCGTTAATTTCTCTCTTATCGTACTAATAGAGTTTGTTATATTATATTAATGAGATACACATAAAAAAAATAATTTAATTTAATTATTTTTAATACAACTAGAGGAGGAATTGCATAAACTTTAAAAAAAAAAAATGCAACACTAATAACAGAAAAAATAGGGATAAAATTTTTTTTAAAATTTAGACAAGTTTTGTATATTTTAACCTCTAAGCTACTCCAGCATTCCTTCTATTATTATTATTATTATTATTATTATTATTATTATTATTATTATTATTATTTTTGGCCAGACATTCCTTCTATTTTATTTTAGGCCAATTGCAGAAACATTTTTTAATGTTAAAACCTATATAACTTAATAAATTAACCTTCTTTATTTTATTAAATTCTAAAAAAATGGTCAGAAAATATCATTAACAATGATTTTTGAGAGCTCAAACTTCCTAAAATGTACGTTTAATATTGCAAAACATGTAGATAATCTAAAATAATGCTCGTGGTCAACTCGACAAGAGAAAACAGAACACACACGAAAATGGAGTACGATTAAGCCTGTTTGTTAGGGTTTTTTTTTTTTTTTTGTTTTTGTTTTTGCCCCCCTTTTAGAAATCAACTATTGTTTCCAGCGTCATACAAGTGAGAAACATAACGTTAAGGGAAATAAAAATAGGACATTGATGATAACGAATAAAATTTTCAATTTTACGTTAAGGGTAAAATCTTAAGCAAAACGCCAATAGAAGGAATCATCCAATATTTGTTCTAACAAGAATAATTATCTCCTACAATCTCTGGCTCTCCAGAAAAATCTTTATTGTTCAAATAAAAGTTGGATAGTTTATAGGTAATATTTTGCAAAAATATTTTAGAGATGCTAAATGTCAAATAAATATATAGACCAAAACAATTAAAGTTCAGCATGAAATTAGTAACAAGAATTTTAAGAGAAGAGAAAGCTGAGAAAATAGAGTAAGATGTGGGATTGACAAATTACAACTCGACATATCAAAGTACAATTAGCAAAGGACATGATCTTGATAAAACTTGGATTCTTAAAATATATTTCCTCCATTCAAAAATATAAAATATTTTTAACTGAATCTCATTTCACTTGTTTTTAAACTAACATTATTTTTTTATATTTATTCCTAATTAATAGAGTGTTTTATTTAAAAAAAAATATAAAGCAATCTATTTAACAGGGACACTTGTAGAAAAAAAGTAATAACTGCACTTTAAAAGATTAAAAATACTTTACATTTTTTAATACTAAACCTCTTCAAAAATATCTTACATTTTTTAACGGAGGGAGTACAAAAAATGGCAGATTTAAATAAAAACTTAAAAAGCCTAGCTTTAGCCATGGTGTCTATTCTAACAAGTTAAGAGTTTTTATCACACTAGAGTCTAGAATATGTCACAAAGATTTCATCTAGTGCAGTGCAACAATCAACTTCAGTATTCCCAGAAAGAAAGCAAATTGAACGCATCATGTTTATGAAAACATTTACCATATCATCCAAAAAGGTTACTGGATTTTAATCGCATCCTTCATCTAATCATGCAATATTGCAGTTCCTCTTAGGATATGATCGGAACAAAAGAAGATAACACAAACTTTGTATGGTGAACTTCACAGAAAAGTCTAAGCAAATCCTGTTCTAATCCATCTTTGAAAGAGAAATGAACAGCTTGATAGTTATATATAGGTCAAAGAAAGAAAAAACATCTGGTGTTACATACTTGCATCCATCGTCTAAGAAGACATCCCCAAAAGACATCCAGGATTATAGGTCTAGAATGATCTAAACTGTTATGTATTCAGTTCTACCAAAACGTACTTCAACGAAGTAAATCTGCGATGTAATAATTAAGATTTAGAATCGAGGTTCTTCAATGTAGATGTTGCTCGCCGGCACAAGGCTCTCAACATAATTAAAAACCTCATGATTATTGCCATATCTGCTGGAAGCAAAAACCTTAAATTCATTAGAAGTGAGATCAAGCAAATATACACCAGCTTTTTGTTCATGATCCTCCTCTTCATGTCGAGCTTCCCTCATAAGGCTTTCAGAAACATCAGAGACAGAGACAATTTTATCCCTCCAAATGGTCCCTGGACCTAAACAGTATGGATAAGGGCCACTAGAGAATTTCTTAATCCAACTCCATCTCTCCTCAGATGTACCTATTATACCCTCCTCCATCACCCACAAATCAATCAAAGTATCTCCAGGGTTTCCATCACTAGAGTAATAAAGTAAGGCAAGTTTGTTCTCATACACAGTAAGCTTAGCAACTGTACTAATTGTTAAAGGAGGTGGTGGTATCAATGTAAAATCTTCCATTGCTATATCAAATGAAACTACCAAAAAAATCTCATCCCCACGATCAAATGCCTCACCTCGCTTTACTGTAAACCAAGAGATAGCTCCATTAGCAGTGACACCATCACTGAGAAAACTTATATTCTCTAAGTTCGTGATTTCTATTCCTTCCACGAACCTGTGCTTAATGAATAAACTTCCACTTCACTAACCACATCACCAAGCTCCGCATAAGTTATCACTATCTTGTAATCGTTAACAATTGGACTGAACCCAAATCCCAAAACACACTCAAACATAAAATCATTGATAGTTCTACTTCTAGGCGCTCGTCTAACCTCTCTAATCGCAGGATTCCACAATAAAACAGTAGGAGGAAATATACCACGATGATCAATTTGAACACAGAGCAAGCCATTGCTAGAGCCGATGATCCTAGAAGACTTGAAGGAATCAATCAAAGGTCCGTTCTGAACGTCGCTGAGTTGCATGTCGCGATCGAGCAAATATAAAGTCAAGGTACCATCAGTGAGAACCCGTTGCAAAATAAGAGAAGGCTTGTTATGGCTAGAATGCTGGAGGTGGTCGACGATGAAAGAACGGGTTCTGATGATATTTTTCCAATGCTTACACACACATTGAAATCGGATTAGGGACTTTACTGGAAGTCGACAGAGAATGTCTGTGATGATTTCTTCAGGAAGAAATGGTTGTCGCCATCCATCTCCATCCGCTTCATAGCGCTCGCCGGAGGTGCAACTCTCTCCGGAGAAAACCTCCTCTTTGCATTTTCCATTTTACTTACGAACGCGTCGCGCGCAGATCTTTCCATTTTCTCGAAAAATAATATTTTTATATCAAATTTTCGGTGGCCAATATCTACAAATCGTTAATTAAAGTATTAAAAATTTACTTATTACATATGTATTTGATATAATAATAAAAAGTGATTGATATTTAATTATTTTAATATTTTATGATATTTTTATGAATCTCTATTTATAAAAAATAATTTATTATCTAATTATTTTCAAATGTTATAATTTATAATATTTTTGTATATCTCCACATTTTATGACATTTTTTTATCATATCAGATTATTGTGAGAAATCACTCAAAGTAATTTATTGAAATAATCAGAAATATTTTTTTCATACTTTAATTATTTTTAAAAATTTAAACAAATATTATAAAATTTAATAAAACAACTTTTAAAAAAATAAATAATTTTTCATTTTAAAATGCTTAAATAAACGGTTGCTAAATATTCAATCGGTTAAAGCCATATTGTATATCTAATGCTTAATAATTAAGGATACAATACAATATAAAATATTGTTTGTTATTAATTACTAATTATTAATTCAGATATCTCTCTTATTTTTTTATATGAAGTTAAAACCACTCAGGTAAAGTATGCATCGAATGGTTGGTCAAAAAAACAAGTAGGGATCAAATACAATGGTATGACATTGAATTTTGTCATAATAGTTGAACCATGCTTTTAATCACATCAGAATCTCAAATACCTTGTATAACAAGGTTTTGTATATACTGAAGAGAAAATTGGACGATACTCAGAGATGTGAGAGATATTACGGGGAAAAAGGGCTAAAAATGATCAATAATCTTAAATACACCAGCTCAAATCTGAGCATCATAAAATCAACTCACAAAACGAACTACTAGCCGTACCAGCCCCTCATAATGATCAGGAAAAAAAAAAAATTATGGTAAAAGAGAACTAGTTGGCCTTTAATCATGAAAGAAAATGGAAAATGCAGAATCATTTATCAGAATTTATCAACAGTTCTTTGATTTGTAGCAACTTGGTAAAGATGTAAACATATTAAAGATGTAAACATATCTTGGCAGAATCACTTATCAGATTCATGAAGTCTGATAACCAAATATCTGTAACCGTGAGAATAGCTTCAAAGTCCATCAAATCACATTCAAAGAAAAGATCAAGCAACAGGAAAGAAGTATTACAGAGACAAGAGCCTGCCTTAAGTTGTTAAACGCGAGACTGAGCAGGTAGGTATAACAGAAAAAGGGAGCTACAAAATATGTGTTTGCAGCATATGTTCAAAAGCATTTGATAAGAAAGCAAGCAATTGAAATTTTGAAAGACAAAAACCATAAACTTTTGCTTAGGCGTGAAAAAATCTTAAACTGAAGCAGGGTAAAAGATGGGAACACACAAACATCTGCCAAAAGGGGTGACAACATTAATTAGGTCTGAAAAAACAGTTGGGCCCCAAGAAAACATATTAAAGAATGTGAAAGGAAAGGAAAAACACAATTATTGATCCCTACAAATTTTATCTGGTTTTGTTTTCAATCCCTGTAATTTTTTCAATCCCTATGGTATTAACAAGTTTGGGTGACATTTGTTATTCAGGCCCTTACAGTTTTAGTGTTTTCATTATTTTTAGTTCCTATAAGGACCGAAAACATTGAAAAAGAGCTATAAGAACTAAAAACAAAATCTGATAAAATTATAGAGATCAATGATTGTGTTTCCCCAAGAATAAATGTCTAAAAAAATGGTAGAAGCAAACAAATCACATAGCAAAGCCGTATTGCTTACTTTGATTACTGTAATACTGTTCACAAGCTATGTTGTTCAGATCGACTTCCTACATAGTTCTTATTTTAAGTTGATGATGATATGATGCCTTTTAGGTGATAACAGTAGCAAGCAAGACTTAAATCTTAGTCACCACGTGGGTAATCATGTTTCTGCTGCTTAAATGCCATTTCCCTGGGTCTTCCGCGAAGTAAGATCCACAATCCTGACTATAAATCCACACCCATAGTACCTTGCTTGAACTAAAAAGTAAAAACCTACTTACACAAGCCACTTACTTTTATTCCTTTTCATATTAAATAAAATGATTCGAGTCCAGATTGTCCATTGTATATGCATTTTTTAAAGAAAAGTGAACAACCTGGTATCATAGACAAGTCAAATAAATTAAGGAACATCTGATATTGAATTTCTGCATTTATCACTCTAGATAAAAGTCTCCATAAAGGACATCAATCCTAACAGGTACAAAACAATCTAAATTGTAATCATTTCCACCAAAAGTACTAAAACAAAGTAAACCAGCAATGTAATAATCAAGGCTCTTCAACATGGTAGTTGCCAACTGGTACAAGACTTTCCACATAATTGAAAATGAGATGATCGTGGCGACATCTGCGGACAGAAAAGATCCGGAATTTTTTAGTATTTAGATTGGTCAGAGATAGATGAGTTTTTGGTTCATAATCCTCTGCTTCAGGTTCAGTTTCCCTAATCAGTCTAGATCCAACCATAAAGCTACTAAATCCAGGCCTATCAACATTGCAGACAATTTCATTCCTCCAAATGGTTGCTGGATTTAAACTGTACATAAATTGGCTACAACTATATTTCTTAGCCCAACTACATCTCTCCCCAGATACACCATTCCTCTCCTCCATCACCCACAAATCAATCACATATTCAAAGTCTCCAACCATATTGTTAGAAAGCACAGCAAGTTTGTTATCATAAACAGTAAGCTTGGCACTTGAATTAGAGTTTAAAGCAGGCCATGGTATTAACGTAAACACTTCAGTTGCTATATCAAATGAAACTATGAAATCAATATCAACTCTTCTACCCTGCTCCACACCTAGCTTTGACCCATACCAAAACATTGCTCCATCAGCATTGACTGTTTCCCATGGTTTTGCACCCTCTAAAATGTTTCTAAAATCAAAGTCCTTCCATGACCCAGTGACAGTTTCTGAAAATAGTTTTACACCCCCTAAGTTTCCAAAATCTATGTCCTTCCATGACCCTGTGCTTAATGAAAACACTTCAACCCAATCAATCGCACCACCAAAGTTTGCATAGGATCTCACTATTTTGTAATCATCAACAACAGGACTGTATCCAAATCCTAAACGGCAATCACCCACAAAATCATTAATAGTTCTGGGCACTTGTCTGACCTCTCTAATCGCTGGATTCCACAGCAAAAGGGAAGGAGGATAGATACCATTCCTATCGATCTGAACACAGAGTAAGCCATTACTGGAACCGATGATGGTAGCACCCAACAAGGACCCAATCAATGGAGCATTCGGAAATTCACAGACTTTCATCTCGCAATCGAGCAGATATAAGTTCAAAGGATTGGCTCTACCGTTCCGTTGGAAAAGAAGATAAGGGTTTCGATTTCTGGAGTGGTGGAGGTGGTCTGCGATGAAAGATGGGTTTTTGAAGAGATTTTTCCAATGTTTGCAGACACATCGAAATCGAATTATAGATTTTGCAGGAAGTCGTATGAGAACGTTTCTGATGATTTCTTGAGGAAGAAATGGTAGTTCTGCATCCATCACCCCCTGCTTCATCGTATGGCCAATTAGGGATTGCAGAATGGAATCTATCGTCTCTAGTCTATGATTGATGAAGAAGACGGTCGCGTTGCGGGTCCCGCTTGTATTATTCCATTTTACTGAAATTTATTTTATTTTATTTAATGGACCAACTTCTTTTCTTTTCTTTTCTTTTCTGTTTGATAAAATAAAGTCAGCACGACTAAGCAAGTGGGCACTACAATCCGTGCATCCATCCTCCCTTTCTCGATGACCTTAGCTAATTCCATAGGTGCTTAGTGGATTGCATGGAATTCCATCACTGCAGATAGACCCATCTATGCAAGAAAATTCGCTGCTTGGTTCTTCGAAAGAGGAGTAAGCTGGAGTTAAACCTCCCAATCACGTATCAAAAGCTGCTGAACTGATTCGATAGCTCCATAACAGTCAGAATTAGTTGTTGCCTCAAACACAATCAAGGCCTCAGCTGAATCAAATTCTAGAATTAGGCCTCGAATACCATCATCCCATGCCCTCTTCAGAGCATGGAAACAGGCCAAAACTTCTGCAGAGAAATTGTCACCTGCCGCCATTCTGTTAATGAATCCCATTAAGAACTCATTGCTCGAGTTTCGAAGCAATCTACCACAAGCTACAATATTTTCGAGGACAGAGAAAGCACCATCCATGTTCAGCATTGTCCACCCCTCGATCAAGAGAAGGGACCCATTTTTAGTCTCCAATATCTTCTCGAGCTCCAAAGGCTCTTAACTGCTTCAGCTTGGGTTGAGCTTCCATAATGCTCTCCGACGTCCAAGGGTGTTAGATTCCCATAGAATACATACTCCTTCCCTTTCTATAAATATATCACACAGTTTAAAAAAAATTAGTCAAGTATAATAATTATATTTGAAAAAAAAAATAAGTAAACTAAAATGTTTTATATTAATCAATATAACCATACATTAATTGTTTCTGTAAATTATGAAAGGTGATTTAAAAAATATATAATAAATATTTATTAAAATAATTAATTTTGCTTATAAAAATATCCAAGTCAAAAGTAATAGTTTTTTTAATAAAAAAAAAAACAGAGGCAGTACAAGTTTGAACACCTCCATGACCTCCAAATGATGATAAATGCCATTCCCCAGTGCCTAATATCCGTATGCTCCTTATGGGAGATATTCTCACATTCCAGCTAATCCTATCCTTTACGTTCAAGTTACAAAGGCCATTCCACTTGGAAGGATGGATCAGTTATTTCCACATAGATTTCTTCTGGTCGCATTCTCTTAGAGCATGGTGGACATCCTCTGCTTCCTGTTTACGGAAAACACAAGTCTCGCCACTAGTGATTCCTTTCTTACTATGAGCAATATTAGTCAACAGACAATCCCTGTATGCAAGCCAAGCAAACATCTTGCATCCTTTAATGGGTCAATTTCTATATATTACATTGTTTTTTTTTATTCTTCACATGTCTCCTCTTATCCAAGATAAATTTGTTAATATTAAACATGGACATCTCTTCTTTAACATGGTTGGTCTTGTATATTGCATTATTGCAAAATGTTTTAAATATTTAAATACCTAATGCAAATGTATATTTTTTAAAAAAAAATTATCACTAATAATTATTCTTTTATTAAAAACAATTATATATATTTAAAACGAGATCGAACACTAAATGTAAACACCTCTTTTAATAAAAATCTAAACTTTAATTTGTTACATTATGAGAAACTAATCCTTTTCATTAGACCTAATTTTATTGGTGTATTTTTCTTTTCTTTTTTAAGTTAAATTGTGTGTCCATTAATTTTGACCCATGTGTTCGGCCTCATGACTATATAAGGCTAAGTTTTAACAATAATTTTCTTCATACAAAAAACTTATCCCACTTACTTCAGAGCTAATTTGTCATCACTAATTTAAGGAAAAATTCTTCCATATGCATGATGCATCACATTAGTTATATATTATTTAATAAAAATATGTCATGTCAAATTTATTTAATATTATATGTTATTTCTTATTTGGGTTGTCTAATTTTAATTTTTTAAATTAAAAATGATTAGATTAAAAAGCTTAGGTGGGGTGAAGTGATGGTGTAGTATGTAGGTGAAAGTTAAGAATTTAAGAGGATAACCCTTAAGTAATGCTTAAATTCTTTAATTGATGACTAGTCTCATGGTTGTTAGTTGTGGGGATTCAATAAAAAGCTGAAAAATAATGTCATAACCATTTGTTAGCATTTTTAAACAATTGAATTAATAGTATATTAAGGTTAAGACCCAATCCGATTGAATTAAATTAGTAGTAAAAAATACTCATGAGAGCTTTCCCTCCAATATGATCCTACCCAACTTGACCTAAAAATAATAGGTAACTATATTAAAAAACGTTATTATTAATTAAAAATTTATAATTTACAAATTTTAAAATTAGATGTTAAAATTTATGTAGACTTTTTTTTATCTTTATCAATAATTAAATATTAGGTTAATGATTATTTTTGTCCCTCAACTTTACCCGAAAGGTCACTAAGTATTATAAATTCAACTATAGGGTAATTCTATCCCCTCAACATTAAAGATTCTCTCTTTCATCACTCTAACATTTAAAACATTTGATGTTCATTAGTCATCAATGAGTCTTATTATTTTTAATAGTTATAGGATCAAGGAGCATTTTTGTCCCTTAACTTTTATTCAAATGCCTCAACTCAAATATTTTATAATAAAAAATATTTAAAATATAATGTGAGACCCACTAACTATTAATTAATGGTGAGAAAACAACAAGGTAATGAAGGAGGGAGTTCTTAATATTGAGAGATATAATTAATTTATAGTTAAATTTATAGCCTCCAATGACTCTTCGGATAAAGTTGAAGGGTAAAAATAATGCTTAATCCTTAAATATTTTAGAATATTATTTTTGTACAGCTGATAATAATTTTATATTTTATTTTAATTGATGAGATATTTTCCAATTAATAGATCTCGATAATTTTTTAATAAAAAGACCAATTATATTGATAACGTAAAAAAAGGAAAAGAAAGTAAACCAAATTTTGTACAAATTTGAAATCATAGATCTTGTAATATATATATATATATATATGAGATAATAATTTTTATAACAAATTTTACGCAAATTTGAAATCATAGATGAAAAACTTAATTTGTTGACAACGTATTTGTATTGGAGGCCAACAATGTTCAACCACGTCACCATACAAATGTGGAGGCCTAGCTCTAATTGTGCTTTGAACTCAACTTTTATATAGATAGACATATACATTTTTTATTAAAAAATATAAAATATTTTTAATCAAATCTTACCCTTCAATAAAGTAATTATTTATTTTTAAAGTAACCCTATATCTTTTTATATTTAACTTTATTAAGCACCATATAATAAATATAAAACCATTTATCAATAGGAATGCTTTTAAAAAAAGACAATAATTACACCTTAAAAGATTAAAAATACCTTATATTTTTTAATATTCAACTCCTCAAAAAATATCTTATATTTTTAAATGAAGGAAATAAAAAAAAAAGAGACATTGTTGACATTATAAGCCGGATCAAACCCGTGTCTTTTTATTTATACGAGAGTTTATGGATCATTAGCAATAACATGAATGTTTGGATTTGTCTCCTCTTGCCACTCTTCACACTCCAGTTAAATAATAATAATAATAATAATAATATAATTGATGGTTCTTTCCTTGGAGAATTATTTTTGAACAAAAAAAACTATATTAAAAAAAGTAAAAAGTACATAAGAAGCGTAAAATTCCACTTGAAGGCATCTATAATTAGGGGAGCCAGAGAAGGGGAAACACGTGGAAGAAAACAAAAAAAAAAAAAGTAAAGTGAGGAAAAACTCGAAGAAAGGAGAAGATATCTGAACTGATTAAAAGCTCCTCTATAGTATCCTTCCAGCATTATTTGAGATCTGCATCCTATTTTATGTAAAAGAAAAGAAACATAAAAAATAGATGAATAGAATAATAGAAAAAGATATAATAAGCAAGAAACATAAAGGTATTACCGGCTATAATAATGCCTAATAAGAATTAAATAGGAAAAATTTCAGTGAGAACTTCTTGACCAAACTTAATACTAATAAAAATCCTAAAAATTATGAAATTTTACTGTATATGTGGAAGATTGAAATGAAATTAAAAAATTTACTGAAATGACTTTGTTGATTCTGTTGAAGTTAGGCATATGAATAATTCATGTAAAAAAATTAATAATTAATGTATGAAAAATGAACAAATAATATAAGTGAAATTTGGAATATTCATACATAACACCATTATGAATATGAATAAGTGAATTTATATATAAGAACTCCAGAGGTGGTAAAAAGGGAGTGTGTTAGAGGGTGACAGAAGTGGGAAACTTGAAATTTCAGAATTTTAGAGTTTTAACTGAAATTATGTATGGTCAAGGTATCCTCACTGAAATTTTTCCAATTGAATATATTAAATAAAAACATTACCATAAATTTAGAAACCTGGTCTTGTATTATACCAATAAAAAAGACGACGTAGCTTCTTCCACCGAAGACATCGATAGAATAAAACTCGGTAATCATGTGGTCGAAGGGGAGAACGTAGAGCAAGTCTATCATAGGAACTCAAATGATATGATCCGATGAGGTGAGACCTTGGTCCTGCGACCTCAAAAGCAGGAATTGGTAACAATGAAAAGATTTCCTTGACTATGTCAAATGAAACTAGCATATCATAATTTATTTCATTCCTATCTTCCCTTTCTTGTTTCCATGCAAACCAATACATTAATCCATTATGCATAGTTACTGTTCTTAAACTAATCCTTAGGCCCTCTAGAACATTCCCAGGCTTTATCTCCTTCCACGAATCTGTGCTCAATGAATACACTTCCACTCGATCATTCTCAGGAACGTAAATTCTCACTATCTTGTAATCGTTGATCTTTGAACTAAAACCAAACCCTACGCACGAGTGTCGTCCTTTGAAATTCGTAGCACTGGTTTGGGGCACTTTTTGTACCTTTCTAATTCTTCGATTCCATAGCAAAAGGGGATTATTAGGAGAAATCATGTCACAATCTGCGAATTCAAGACAAAACAAGTCTTTGCGAGAATAAAAGACATTTACGGGAGACAAGGAATTGATACTGTGCCTGCCGAAATCCGAGGACAGACTAGAGAATGTAAGATTCATCGTATATCCAAGACGATGAAATTCTTGATTCTGGGATAGGAAATATGTGATGAAATGTTGAGTCTTGAAGAGATTTTTCCAGTGTTTGCATACACATCGACATTGGATTAGGATTTTCACGGGAAGCCTACAAAGAATGTTGATGATGATATCGTCAGGAAGAAGCAGCTCGTCGTCTGCCATTACTAGGGGCTGCATGTTATATTGCAGGCTTGACATACGCATTATATATCATTGTCTCAAAAACCAAAGGTAAAATACACCCAAAAAAAAAAAACAAATATTTCAACGAATGACAGATTTGATCGACTCTATACATGCAAACTACTAGCTATAATCTTGAAAATAACGATCAAGCAGATAATAGAACAAAGACTAAGTCCAATTTTAAATTATTTTGAATTCAAACAACTATCACCTATCAATCCGTTCAAGATTTAGATTTGGTGAATGGTTAGGAGAGAAATTTTTAAATAGATTGGATGTGTCACATCATTTATATTCTGTCCAATAAAAATATGACATTAAAAAATTATTAAATATAAATTTATTTTAATATTAATAATAGTAGAGAGAGAAAATTAAATATACATTTTGTTATAAAAAATCAATTATAATAATGTCACACAAAATTTTATTCATATGACTTATAGCATTTTAATTGGACATATTATAAATGATGTAGCGCACTTAATCTATTTAAGAATTTCTTTGACCAATAAGTGACTCATATGATATGATAACAACAATTCGATCTAATCGAACGGACATTGAGAGATTTTTCATCATCATATAATACTTGGAAAATTCCAAATTCAAATGCTTGACGAAAAATTTATATGTGAGGATTGTTTTGACCGTGGACCGATGAATACATTACATGCCCAGAAAACATATTGTACATCCAAAAAACTTAACCTATTCATTTTATAGCTAATTTCTAATCACTAATTTAAATTAATTGTTGAGTTCTGAATCTCATATACTATTTATTATTATTAATTTTGATAACATTGGTTCTTATAATTATTTTTAATTATTATCATATTAGGGGTATAAAATTTGAAGTGTTCAATATTAACTACTTTTTGTGAGTGATACAAATTAATGAAGATTGGTATGATTAACTTAATTAAAAATTGTTAACCATTTAAAATTAGTCATGCTAAGGTCGTGTTTAACAAAAAGATCAAAAATTAGATTGACAAAAAGTCATTTCTTATGTTATTGGACGACCAGTAAGTTTTTTTCTTGAGTTTTGAAGGATAGAAATGATTTCTGAATTTAAGGTTTTTATCAAAAATTAAGACATGTCCCCCATCATTGCTAAATTGTTTGGTATTTTCAAAGGTCTTAAGTTATGTCGGCAAAAAAAAAAAAGGGTATAGGATTGTAGAGGTTTTTTGTAATAATACATAGGTTGTCTCAACAATTACAAGAGACAATCATGATTATCACTCCTTTCAAAGTATCATCAATTCTATAAATTTGATTTTATATAGAAGTTGGACTATAAACTTTAACTTTTTGCATATGGATGATAATAGAATGGTTGAGTATCTTGCTAAATTAGTCAATAAATTATTTAATGATTTTAATATTCTTGATACCCCGCCCATAAGTTGATTAAGGGTGGCTGGTTTGTTTTTATTTTTGTTGGTTGGTCTCTTATAATATTTTCACGTTCTTTTGAATGAGCATTACATGTTCATATTAAAAAGAGAGAACCAAAAAAAAAAAAAAAGTTCTCCATTGACCACTCCTCCGATTCCTTTTAATAATTTATCTTTCAAGTTGCAAGACTCAATAATAATCAACCCACTATAATGCATGCGTTAATTGATTTTAAACTACATGAATTTTTTTTAAAGCAAAGTTTAATAAGATTGAACATAGATTTAAATTTTCATAAATTTAATGATTATTTTATTCTGTGAACCTTGTAAATATCTTGACAAATAAATTTTATTGACTTCTCCTTCAATTTGCAAGAAAAACAGTAATCTACACATAGGAGGTCAAAGTTGCAGCACAATGGCCTAATATGAATCTATATATAGAAGGTCTAAAGGTGGTGAGAAGGGAGTGTGTTGGAGGGTGCCAGAGGTTGGATGTTTGAAATTCAGCCTTGAAAGGATCTTCCTTTAGCTGCAATGGTATACGTAGATGTCTACTTTATCAAGTATTCTCTAATCAGCAATGCAAAGAAATATGGGAAGACAAATACAATGAACACATTTTTATATGCACAAGCATACGGATCTATAAATGTGAGTGGAAAAGTTGGTTTAATAACTTTGTAGGAATCAATAAGCTGCTTGTGGCCTACGGGGGAAATGGAGGGAAGTTCAACTATGGCAATGTTAGGTGTGAAAACATAGCAATTGTGAATGGTAATGAAAATTTTGTGACATCTTACAAATGATAGAGCACAATGACATCATATAATTCATATAACCAATCTCATTTAGTGAGATAAGACTTGTTATCGTTATTTTTGTAAAATGCAATCAACTCAAGTGAGTTGGGAGAGTTCATGATACATTGGCGACTAACAAAGTCATTTTTGATCAGATCTCAAGAGGGGCTTTCTCAGATCCACCCCTCCCCTTGAACAAGGCATGTTGCAGAAATTATAAAGCGACTGTGAATTGATAATCTTGCACAATTGTTACAATGTTCCTAGGCAGGAAACAAAACAAAGCATCAATGGGAGACTGACAAAGGTCATGACCAGATAATTAAACTGTACATACTTAACAAACTTAGTTACAACTAGTCAACTAACTAACTAATATAATGACAGAATAAGTAGCTTTAGAGTAAGCGATGAAATAAGCAGTAAATAATCAAGCCAACGCAAGCCATTGTCCTGGTCTGTTGAGTTAACCTATACAGAATTAGAAATAAGTGGCAAATGCAGAAATTACAATTTTGGGAAGCTCAACGTGTAATCATATACAGCAATCTCAATCAGAAACCGACACACAGAACAATAGGATAGAAACACAATAAACATCGATAAATAAATTACAAGATTATCACTTTATGGAATCAAATGCTGCTTCATACAAAGATGCAAGTTTTATGTGGACACAGTGCATGAAAAATATAGAGAAAAATAGATGCGGAACAAAGGCTGATATATTGCGGAGCTGACAGGCGTTATATATTGGCTTGAAAACCAAATGTAAAATACCAGAAAGTACCTCAACAAATGACAGATTTCACGACTACAAACAACTACCTATGGTCTTGAAAAATAAGGATCAAGCAGATAACAGAACAAAGACTAAGTCTAATTTTAAATTACATTGAATTTGAATTAACCTTCAATAAATGTCACTATCGTCTTTCAATATTTTCACTTTGCCCACAAATACCTACTTCCGCTGAAGACTATAGCAGATTAACAGTTCATGTACACACAAACAACTAAAGTTTCAAAATTTGCAATTCAATCCATGACAACAAGCTTAGGCATATTTATGTTTATGAATGAACAAAATTTCAAAGCATATTGTGGTGTCATAACGAAATTTGACAGATAAAACTAACAATGTCCACTTCCAATGGAAGGTTCAACATCTAATCAAAGATTGCAGCTTAAAATATCAAAAAGGTAATATGAGAGGGAAAAAAACTTGAACTCAACCAAAGCAAGAGGAAAATGCATTCATTATTCCAAAATGGAAGACAGCAGAAATACAAAAGGCAAAGTAAGCAAATAGAACAACTGATAAGAGAGAAAAAGGGGGGAGAAGAAAGGAGGAAGAAAGAGACTATTCCATTGATAAAATGATCAAAGAGACAGGGCACAGCACATATACCCTAAACCTAAACACGTGTAAGGTCCTACACTGTCAATACTTTTCTAACATTCAGCAACAGATAAAGAGGCAGTAATAAAATCATGCATAAAGACAAGAAAGCCCTTAAATAAAGCAGTAACATATAACAACAACTATATCAATTGTGAATAATTCAAATAACATCATCAAGCAAGGAAATTGAAAATCATTACCAGATAACCTCAATCACCTTTGGCTGACGAAGATAAATCTGGAGTGGAAGGAGCAGAGGGAAGGAAAATTAGAAAGAAAGATACTTTTAATTTAGAGCAATGAGCGAGGGACATAGGCATCAATTAATTTCTTTGACTCTCATACAAGATAATAAAATCAGTGATATATTTTTAACTAAAAAGAAAAATTGGTATATTAATGGATAACAAGTCCCAAATCACAGGCACATCTGATGTTAAATATCTGCATTTATCATTAGAGATAACATCTTCAAAAGCCATCAAATATTGTAGGTACAAAATGATCTAAACTGTTATTCCTTTTCACTAAAAGTACTTGAACAAAATAAATCTGCAATGTAACAGTTGAGATATAACATCAGCGGAAGTTGCAAATCGAGACAAGGCTTTCTGCATAATTGTATGTGCTATGAGCATCGACCCATCTGGGAATATCAAACCCCTTAGTTTCATTAGTAGAGATATTCAACAGATATAGATCATTTCTGCCTTCATCTTCATCCTCTTCAGAAGAAGATTTGCAGACAATTTCATTCCTCCAAATAGCCATCGGATATAATGAAGAGGGACTGCCAGTATATAATTTAGTCCAATTCCATCCCTCCCCGAATGCATTTGGACCCTTCTCCATCACCCACAATTCAATCAAACTTGACATGCCGTCATCATTGTCGTGACCATCATCTTCCCAAATGTCAAAAAGTATAGCAAGCCTGTCCTGATAAACAGCAAGCTTTTCTTCTGCATTATGGTCCAAATCAGGCCTCGGCATCAATGTAAAGACTTCCTTTGCTATGTCAAATGAAACTATCACCTCAGTATCACCTTCACCCTCCCTAATATCATCTTCAGACTCCTCAATATCGTCTTCATGTTCCTCAATATCATATTCATCCTTATCCAAACCTAGCTTTAATCCAGACCAAAATATAGCACCATTAGCCGTGACAGTTTCAGAATGAAGTTTCACCCCCTTTAAGTTCCCAATATTGATTCCCCTCCATGACCCTCTCCTTAATGAAAACACTTCCACCCTATTAACCGAATCATCAAACTCTGAATAAGTTCTCACTATCTTGTAATCATCAACAATTGGACTATATCCAAATCCTACCATGCAATCATCAGAGTCAATATATTTTCTGGTTCTAGGCACATGTCTAAACTCTCTATTCGCAGGATTCCACAATAAAAGGGAAGGAGGAGATACATTACAACGATGTATTTCAACACAGAGCACGCCATTGCAGGATCCCACGATCCCAGTAGTAGCACCCTTCAACGAATTGATCAAGAGGGCGTTCTGAAATTCACGGTCTTGCAGTTGCAGCCCGCAATCGAGCAAACGCACGCTCATTGAACTCTGTTGGAAAAGAAGACAAGGGTTTTGAAGACTGGAGTAGTGAAGGTGGTCTGCTACGAAATATCGGCTGTTGATTACATTTTTCCAATGTTTACACACGCTCTGAAATCGGATCAGGGATTTCACAGGAAGTCGTTTGAGAATGTTTAAAACGATTTCTTCGGGAAGAAATGAGGCATCACTGTCCATTTTCATCTGATTCGTGTCGCCGGCAGGCAACAAGAGATCTGCGAGAGTCAGAGACAGAGAGCCGTCGCAGCCTCGCACCCGACAAAGCCGTTACCCATTAGGGATTATATTGTGTGACCCTGATAAGGGTAATGTCAACTAATTTTTCCATTTTCAATTTTAAAGAGTAATACTGCGTACCTGGAGCCCGTATTAAAAAATGGACTCTCCTACCAGTTTTATTCTTTTATTGAAATTAAGTGATTATAATCAAGCATTGTATTGAGATTAAAAGCATGCAAACAATTTATTACAATTAAGCTCATTTTGTTTGTAATCATTTTATATTTTAATATACTGACTTTCGTTCAAAAAAAAAACTAAAAAGAGGTAAGGTAAACAAAAAAAAAAAAGTTGATATGCATGTCTGACCAAATTATATTTGAAAGAGCAGTTCTCCCAAAACATTCTCTACATTTACATGCACTTAAACATGAAACCTCTTACATTTACTTGTATGCCTCACATGTTTGCTTCACCAAAGTTAAAAAAAAAAAAAAAAAAGGTTAGTTGGTTTTACAATGTGAGCTTGTTTAGTTTATTTTAAAAATGGACTCTCTCTCTCTCTCTCAACCTAACATATTTTTGATGCGTTTTCTTCATCTTCATTTTTGCATGCAAAAGATTTTTTTTATTGCAAATAATAACTAATAGTTAAAAATTATTAGTAAATATGAGAATATATTGATAATTATGAAAAATATTTCATAAAAATAGTTCAAATTTATTCCAAACCTAAACCAAACCACTTAAAAACCAAATCAATTCGATTAAGGGAAAAAAACTGAATGAATCCCAAAATATAGTGAATCAATTGGTTTGTTTTAACTTGTTTTTTTTTTTTTTCAAAACCAAATCAAATCAAACCAAATTTGTAATAAACACCCTTAGACTACTTTGCTTATAGCAAGTTTTGTTGTTAGTCCCTTGATTTTTTTTTTCCCCCATTACTCTTAGTTATTTAAGTTTCATCTATCTACAATGTCAGTTTTTATCACCATTTACAAATTAAATCTATTTATGTGTACATAACTCTATTAATTTTGCCATTGGATCAGTAAAATTATTATTCATTGGATATTACATAAACAAAATAAATACTAACCTTTTTATAAATAGATACTAACCTTTTTATCCTGGCCATTACGTCTTTTTAAACATTTTAATTTAATGTCTTGCATGTTTTTTTTTAATTTCTATTCATTTTTAATACATCTCATCATAATTTTAATAAAAGAATATGAGAAGTAATGAAGTTTATATTCATGTTAGTCATTACTAAGTTCTTAACTTCTTATGATCATATTTAAAAAATATAAAAACTAACATTACATATAAATGAAACTTAAAGAAATAGAAAAAAATATAGAAATTAATACTTAAAAAAAACCTAAAAATATAGGGACCAACAATTATATATTCTCATTTTAAATACATGCATATTAAATATAAAATCTAAATCCAAGTTCAGGGCGCTAAGTGGAATATTGGAAATGGCTAAGTGTTGAATTTTTTTGGAGACCAATGGCTATTACCGGCGGTCAAACTCAAGGAGGTATGCTTAAGGCCTCACAAGTGAGGAAAAATAGAGCAAAGTATCAGATTGGGCAAAGATCTTTGGAAGAAATGGCGTGTCGCCCTTCATTCTCGTCTGCTTCAGCTTCGTGATGCTTGGCTTGAACGGATTTCTAAGCGGAAAGCCATCGCCATCAACAAAACTATTATATCGGGATTTCAGATTACGATAAATCAGAGTCCATATTAAAAGAAGCACGACCCTTATTGCCTCAAAAATCATTCACCAAGAACTTCACTAAAGGAGATGGAGCAGAAGTCAACCAATTTGGCTGAAACATCTCCTTTGCACCACAAGCTGCCAAAAAATCTGCAGCATGATTTCCTTGTCCAGAAACCAAGGAAAATGAGACATCAATCAATGACTTTTTCAAATCAACAAGTTCCTGTATCAGCTCTTTGCATTGCCACTCACATTTCGCTTTCTCATGAGCATGCACCAACCTGCAAAGAATCTCACAATCAACTTCAAAACAAACATGCATGTTAGGAAAACTATTTCTTAACAACATAGCTTCTCTGAGAGCTAAACCTTCAGCCATAGAAGTTGACTTCGCAGACACACCACAGCTCGATCCACCTACAAACTCACCCCTCCAATTCCTGCAAACCACTCCTACCCCAGCTACACCTTTTTGAGCAATAAAAGATCCATCAGAGTTAATCTTGATACATCCTTCACTAGGTCTTACCCAAACACCATGTCTGATCAATTTCTTCTCAAAACATTTTTTACTGCTATTGCTCTTCCTCTCCTTCAAATGCCCAAATTCCTCAAATTGAGCATTAACAAGCTTGACAGTTTTGACAGCATCCACCTTCTCACCTTTAAAAACCCAATTACACCTACATTTCCAAATCCACGAGCACATTAATGCTACTGTGGACTTACCATGTTTCACTCTTCTCATATGAAATCTGTCAAAACTGATATTAATAACCAAACCAACACTTCTCAGTCCATGGATAAAAAAACAGTAAATGCTCAATTGTTTCTGACTCAATACCACAAACAAGGCAAACTGGGTCAATAGCACATTTCCTTCGATACAAAGCATCCTTAGTTGCCACAGCCCCATTTCCAATCCTCCATAGAAAATGCTGCACTTTTGGAGGAACAACCACTTTCCAAATCCCCTTCCAAAATTCAGAAGAAATCTGGTAAGAAGAATTCGGGTCCTTCTTAAGGACAATCCCTTTATCCGCTTTTTCCACAGCATATCCAGATTTTGCGGTATACAAACCATCCTTACAAGCCAGCCAAACCAAGCAATCCAACTTCAAACCAGCAGGAATTGGGATCTTTAAAATCATCTCCTTCTCTATCTGCGAATCTTCCCTTCAGTTGGATCAAGGTTCCATCTGCCATTATGTATCAAACAAGACACACTGAGCTTTTTCTCTTCCTCATTTCTGCATATATAACTCAGCTTTAAACCTTCTAATTAAGGGATCCAATTCTCCTCCCATATCCTTATCCTCCTACCATCCCCAACTTTCCAACAAGATTTTTTCAATAATAACTCCCTACCAGTCAAAATACTGGACCAATACTATGATGCCCTATTTCCTTGTTTAGCCTGCAAAAAACTAGACTTTGGAAAATATATACTTTTCAAAAATTTTCACCACATATCATCAGGATTCTGAAGGAGACCCCAAGCTATCTTGGCCAATAAAGCTTGATTAAAGCACAACAAATCCCTAAAACCCATTCCTCCTACAGCCTTCGAATCTATCATAGTGGACCAATTTTTCCAATGAATTCCACCTCCCTCTTTATTCTGGCCCCACCAAAACCCAGCAACCAAGCTGTCAATCTCTTTACAAACCTTTGTAGGAAAAGCAAAGCAAGTCATCGGATAGGTGGGAATTGAATTCGCCACACCTTTAATTAAGATTTCCCTTCCTGCAAAGGATAGAAGTTTCTTTTTCCAACCTTGAAGCTTCAGACCAACCTTGTCTCAAACAAAGGCAAGAGCAGCAGCCTTTGACCTCCTCCAAACCACTGGTAAACCAAGATACTTACTAGGTTGATCAGAAAATTTTATCCCCAATAGATTTGTAATTTCAGTCCTGATTTCAAGGGGTATTAGCAGAAAAATAGAGGCAAGATTTTTCAAAATTCACCACTTCCCTTGATGCATGACACTATATTTCAAGAATCTTCTTAAGAATCAAGCAACTATCCCTCTCTGCCTTCATAAAACATAAAGCATCATCTACAAAAAAACAATGCGATAGCACAGGGCCACTTCTTGCCAACTCAATACCCCTTAAGTCTTTATTATTGATATGATACTGAACCATTAATGACAAAACCTCGACCACAAAAACTAACAAATAGGGAGACAATGGGTCGCCCTGCCTCACGCCTCTTTCAGGCACAAATGCATCCACTTTTCTCCCAGAACTAAAAGTTTGAAATGTGCAAAAGTAACACAGTTGATGATCCAATTAACCCATCCTTCACAGAATCCCATAGCCAACAACAGCCTTCAAAAGATCCCATTCAACTCTATTATATGCTTTATTCAAATCAGTTTTTAAAGCAAACTCCCAATTCGACCCTTTATTCTTGTTCTTAAGATAATGAAAAGCTTCATGTGTAATAACCACATTATCTTGAATCAACCTTGCTGTAAAAAACGCTTTTGGACTCAGAAATGAGTCTATCAATAATCCCTTTCAGTCTGTTAGTTAAGAGTTTTGCTACTATTTTATATATTGAGCTCAATCGACAAAGATTTGTTCTTTTATCAGAGGATGACAACAAAGTTCTAAAAAGTTAAATCAGTAATAGTGAAATTTTTAATAAATTTTTTTATAAATATCAATTCAAACAGTTATGAATAAAAATTTGAGTTACAAACTAATTGTTATATTCAAAATTTAAATATTGTACTTGCAGTTAAATTTTTTAAATTTTCAATTGTTTGAATTAATATTTATAATTGATTTTTCAAAAAAAAATTGTCTCATTAATTTTTTCTTATGGGATTTAACTTTCATTCTCTCTCTCTTTTTTTTTTAATTATTCGAGTTATCCTCTAAACATTTGCAAAGTCCTGTTATTTTTCAGATGTGGTGTCTTGTTTCATTACTCAGCGTAGAGGTCTTCTTTCTTGATCCATATTTGTGTGTTTGACACTTCAAATATTTTGATTTTCCACGTATCAGATGCATGTTATTAAATAATGTAAGGCAAAGTCTTTTTATTATTCGATTTATATGAGAAAAAGTAAATAAAATAAACAGGTAGTAAAAGGGAAAAGAAAGAACACTGGGAACTCAGGCATAGCAAAAAAGGAAGTGTGGACAAAAAAAAGGCACAGCAAAAAAAAAAAAGCTTTATTTTTTTTATGATAAATAACACATTGAAATACAGAATGCAGGGTAAACAACATTTTCTTTTGGCCTGGAAGAGGAAACTAATTGAAGAACTACCTTTGTTTTTTTTTTTTTATATACAAAAAAATATACCTTTGTTTCCACCCGTATATGTCTTCACTAAAA